CCAGGTGGAAAGCATGGCCAGCCGTAGCAAAATGCTTGTTGAAATTCTCGATTATTGTATATTTAACGGTGGTGATAGTGTTTCCTAGCCTCAGTGCAGTGGGCAGCTGGGAGGAGGTGCTCTTATTCTCCATGGACTTTACATTGTCCCAAAACTTTTTGGAGTTAGTGCTACAGGATGCAAATTTCTGTTTGAAAAAGCTAGCCTTTGCTATCCTAACTGCTTGTGTATATTGGTTCCTGACTTCCCTGAAAAGTTGCATATCGCGTGGGGCTATTCGATGCTAATGCAGTATGCCACAGGATGTTTTTGTGCTGGTCAAGGGCAGTCAATTCTGAGGAGAACCAGGGGCTATCTCTGTTCTTAGTTCTGAATTTCTTGAATGGGGCATGCTTATTTAAGATTGAGAGGAAAGCACTTTTAAAGAACAACCAGGCATCCTCTACTGACGGAATGAGATCGATATCCATCCAGGATACCTGGGCCAGGTCAATTAGGAAGGCCTGCTCGCTAAAGTGTTTTAGGAAGCGTTTGACAGTGATGAGGGGTGGTCGTTTGACCGCGGACCCGTTACGGACGCAGGCAATAAGGCAGTGATCGCTGAGATCCTGGTTGAAGACAGCGGAGGTGTATTTAGAGGGTAAGATAGTCAGGATGATATCTATGAGGGTGCCCATGTTTACGGATTTAGGGTTGTACCTGGTAGGTTCCTTGATAATTTGTGTGAGACTGAGGGCATCTAGTTTGGATTGTAGGATGGCCGGGGTGTTAAGCATATCCCAGTTTAGGTCACCAAGCAGTACGAACTCTGTGGATAGATGGGGGGCAATCAATTCACATATGGTGTCCAGGGCACAGCTGGGGGCTGAGGGGGTTCTGTAGCAAGCGGCAACAGTGAGACTTATTTCTGGAAAAGGTTGATTTTTAGAAGTAGAAGCTCAAACTGTTTGGGCACAGACCTGGATAGTATGATAGAGCTCTGCAGGCTATCTCTACAGTAGATTGCAACTCCACCCCCTTTGGCAGTTCTATCTAGATGGAAAATGTTGTAGTTGGGGATGGAAATTTCTGCATTTTTGGTGGCCTTCCTAAGCCAGGATTCAGACACTGCTAGAACATCAGGGTTGGCGGAGTGTGCTAATGCAGTGAATAACTCAAACTTAGGAAGGAGGCTTCTGATGTTAACATGCAAAAAGCCAAGGCTTTTACGGTTACAGAAGTCAACAAATTATAGCGCCTGGGGAGTAGGAGTGATACTGGGGGTTACAGGGCCTGGGTTAACCTCTACATCACCAGAGGAACAGAGGAGGAATAGAATAAGGATACGGCTAAAGGCTTTAAGAACTGGTCTTCTAGTGCGTTGGGTACAGAGAATAAAGGGGGCAGATTTCCGGGCGTTGTAGAATAGATTCAGGGAATTATGTACAGACAAGGATATGGAAGGATATGAGTACAGTGGAGGTAAACCTACGCGTTGGGTAACAATGAAAGAGAGCATCACTGGAGGCACCGATTGAGCCGGTCTCCGCGTGTATGGGGGGTGGAACAAATGAGCTATTTGAGATAGTTTGAGAGGGACTTGGGGCTCTACAGTGAAATTGTATAATAAGAACTAACTGGAACAGCAATAGGCAAGTTATATTGACATGGGAGAGAGGCATAAAGGAATCACAGGTGTTATTCGAGAGAGCTAAGACAACTGTTAATGGCGATGAAAGTTTGGGCTGAGGCTAAACAGATAAAACAGGACAGGGTACCGTGTAAAGGAACAGTTCAGCAGGCATCAGCTGTGCAGCTGAGTGATCATAAGGTCCAGTGAACAGCAATGTGAGTCCGAGAGCAGTTCGAATTGGTGCTACAGCACAGGCGATCAGGAAGCACGGCTGTTGAATTGCGTGTGCTAACAGGCCGGGGCTAGCAGATGGATCTTCTTGGTCGTCGCAACGGGAAGCCTGTTGAAACCACAGACGATTACTTCGGCAGACCAGTCGTGATGGATCGGTGGGGCTCCGTGTCGACACTAGGAGGTCCCGTCCGGTTGACAGAGAGGTAGATAGCCGGGAGTTGGGCCTGACTCGAGGCTAGCTCAAGGCTGATTAGCCAACCACAACATCCATTCGGTTGCAGCTAGCTAGTTGCGATGATCCAGTGTTAAAGGTCCAGTGATTCCGGCAGAAAATCCAATATGTTCTGGGTCGATAACGCGCTGTGCAGACTGGCCGATAATAGTCCAGGCTAGAGCTGGCTGGTAGGTAGTGCAGGCCACAGACAATGGAGAAATAAACCCGCTAACGGTGGCTAATAGCAAGTAGCTAGTTAGCTGGCTACTCCCGTCCGGTAGTGGTAGATAGCCGGGATATGGGCCTGGCTCGAGGCTAGCTCAAGGCTAACTGGTGCTTGCTTCGGGGGCAGTGGTGATTAGCCAACAGCAACATCCATTCGGTTGCGGCTAGCTGGTTGCGATCCGGTGTTAAGGTCCAGTGATTCAGTTATTCCGGCAGAAAATCTGATGTTCTGGGTGAAAACCGCTAACGGTGGCTAATAGCAAGTAGTTAGTTAGCTGGCTAGCTAGTTTCAACTGGAGATTCTAGATAAAAGGTAAGTAAATAATAGAATCCATTCCACATTGAGTGAGGTGGGTTGCAGGAAAGTATATTTAGTAGAAGGATAAAGTGTGATAGGGGAATATATACAACAAAAGACAAAAAAAAGAAAAAACTGGCTATTTACACGGACACACAAGAGTACACGACCGCACTGCTACGCCATCTTGGAACAATGATGCTTCAATACTCTGAAGTTCCTTCCTTCTTTCGCTTCCTTTCTCTCATCTGCACTGTTCTGCAAAAAGAAAGAAGGAAAGATGGATGATATGAATATCTACCATTAAAAAAAAGTGATATCACCTGTCAAGTTCTTTACAGTGCATAATCCGATAAAGTAGATAAAGAAACCAGGACCTGTAGGCCACATTAGACTATTGACATGCTCCCAGTGTGTGCCAGCTGCTCTCCACCCAGCCCTTTTGTACTTCCTCTTGGCAGAGCCCATAGATACAGACAGAGAGATCACTGGGGCTGCTGACTGCTGCCCTCCAATTGGGCTAACCTTCTTCCCTATCGCGTGACTGACTCTGTTGTCATTTCTTGAACCATAGTCAGGGCTTATTCAGATTTCTTATTCAAGCCGACTAAGTTGACTGTGAGCTCATTCTTGTTGCAGGGAAGAAGAGGTGTTCCATGTACGAGAATTGAGCATTGCATAACATTCAGATAGAAATGTGTTATGTAGACCATACATTATTCTCTGGTGTGTAGAACAGAAATTTCTACATTACATTTCTCTTATCTTAACGTTGTACCCGTCTGAATACATTTTATGGTGGTGCTGTTGTTGGAATAAGAGGATCGTTGTGCCCTACTGCCCCTCCACTTTCAATGGAGGACACAGCCTGAGAGTCTCCCGTTCTCTCCCTGCCAACCCAAAACAGACAGCCATCTCAGCAGGCCTCATAGCCAACTGTATTATTTATTATTTTAATCATTATAATATGATGGCCTGACATGACATCCTTATATTATTGAAAAGTGTGGAAGCATTGGAAAGTTCCAGAGGCCAGCTTACCTTCTTTCCTGTGGCTGGGCAGGACGTGAAGGCCTCTGTGGGTGTCCCTGTACAGCATGTTAGGTGATGTGGGTAACGTAGACTGGCTGGGATAAAATAATCCAGGCTGCTCTGTGGCCCCGGGCCTCCCAGGCCATCCATCAGGCTCTGGTGACAGCAGTAGGGACTGGGTTCCATACAGGGACCACATGACCCACACAGAACACTGGAGACAGGTGGGGCCGCCTCCTCCTGCCGTCCCTCCTACACAACAGTTGCTGACCCCTGTCCCAGACAGACACTGATTTAAGGTCTGTTTTACATCCCCTGCTTGGAATTACAAGGTTAGGATTGGGTGAGGGTAAGTTGTTTCCACACAAGCTACTGCTATTGGGAGTGTTTCAACCAGCAGTGTTGGCATCCAGCACTGTGGACTGTGATGTCAACAACTTGAGTTCACACAGGCTGGCATATTGGAACATCACAGAACCACTTGGCTCCTGACCTAATGCCATGGGATTTAAAAGGGCCATGATTTGATAAGGCTGTACAATTGATTGACTTTAATAGACCACACAGCAGTGGAGAGAAAAGAAGAAAGAAGGAAACAGAGACTGGTAATGCTAGTTCATTTGAGTCTGTGTGTTGTCATTCTGCTAAAAACACTAGCTACAGCAGGAGGAAGAAGTGATGGTTGTGGTTAGGGTTTCAGGAAGTCTGCTTATTCCCTCGGAGGAGGAGGAAGAAGTGGTGGTGGTTAGGGCTTCAGAAATTCTGCTTATTCCCTCTGGGGAGGAGGAGGTATAAGCTGCCCCGATACATAGACCTAGGATCATCTTATCCACACCACCAAATAAAAACCTTTTACTATTAGTGGATAAAATGTCAAACTGACCTAAAATCAGTGTAATACGGGCAACTTCATCCTAGAGCTGAAATGGGCAAGAGGGAAACACTCTTGTATGTTAGACTTCCTGAAAAGATAAACATATCTTCTAGAGCTGAACAGAGAAGAGCCACGCCTTCTAAAGTTGTTCAACAATGACCAGCCTCATGTCTTATCACAAGCCTGCTATGTAAAGCTACTATCGTTATTTTCATTCTGTTCGGAAAGGCTTTCCCCTCCTCCCTGGATGCCTCGGTTGGCATTAAGTGATGTACACATAGTCACAACGCTGATAAATGATGATTTCATGGTTTACATTTATTCTTGTAGACTCCTTGGCCATGTTTCCCCTGTAGAATTTGTGAGAGAGACAGGACTTTTGTTTTGTTATTCAAAGTGTTTACTTCACATGACAAGGAAAACAAGAATGTCGGCTAGCTAAATGACTCAATTGTAAGTTCTATATAAGATGGCCTAATTAACAACAAATACAGATATTTGTGAGTGATTCATGTCTGATGGCTTTGGCAGTGCTGCTTTAACTCAGAAGGCAGTCAACACGATCATCTCAGACCCAGCAGTGTATGCCTTGCCTTGCTCTCTGACAGGGATGCTAATTGCAGCGATTCTTCACTCTCAATGTTTCCATTACTCAATGAAGCCAGACAACTGCCATTATCCCAGGCTCTCAAACACAATTTACTGCGTGTGTGTGTGTGTGTGTGTGTGTGTGTGTGTGTGTGTGTGTGTGTGTGTGTGTGTGTGTGTGTGTGTGTGTGTGTGTGTGTGTGTGTGTGTGTGTGTGTGTGTCTCAGTGGTCACAGCCAGGAGGTTGTATCATGTCACTGAAGGATTGTGAAAAGGGGGCCTACAGGTACTGTATATATGGGCATGAATGTGGTTTTCCTCTGCGTGTGGGTCGGGATGATGGGAAAAGGAGAACGCTGGGTTAAGCACTAAAACGGAGAAACTGAAGTGGAAGAGGAACCTGCGATGGACTGGCTTTGTGTGATGATATGAGGACTGACCGACAAACTGGAAAATAGCTCTGCCGTTTTGTAAATGAACGCACAACTTGTCCTGGGTTTTCACTCTGAAAACATTTTCTCTCACAAAGGCCATACATTGTCTGCTACCACTCACTCACTCACACACGTGAGCCTGCATGTACGCGCACACACCACTCACTCATTCACAGATTTCTCCATGTTTCCCCTCCTCTCTCTCTCTCACTCAATCACTCACTCACTCTGCCATCTCCATGTTTTATCCTGTGAGGAGGCAGGATTAGGAGCCAGGCAGGCTGTGGCCTATGGAAGGCCAGATTACCATCAGTGCAGTAAGAATTCAGGCCTTATCTCTGCCTCACATAACATAATCTTAGTTGCAGGAACAAATGCTTTGACAGTCACACTTGCCTTGCTTCACATTTATTAAGAAAATTACATTCCAGTCTGCTCTGGATATTCTCTCTCCCTCTCCTCTCGCTCTCTGTGAGTGGAGATTAGTGGAGCTGGGGGTCCAATTGTTTGGTGATTTAGAGAAGAACGACCTCGGCCATGATGTTTGATGTTTTGGGTAGGGAACTGTTTCTGTTTGTTCATAATCAAAGCTATTCTCCTGGCTCTGAGAGGGAAAGGCTGGCAGCCCTCTCATCTTCGCTTTGATGATAAGGTTCGTCCTGTCTGAGCAAGAGGGCTGGAGTTGTGGGGAGAAGAACATAATTATTTCTGATGTATGACTGTTCATGAAAACATGACAATATGAATTTGTCAATCAATAAACAAAATGTCTTAATATAAAGTGGTAAGTGTATGTTACATAATCTGGTCTTTTTTGTGCTGGGCCTAATTGCAGGTAGGAGCAGTAATGTAGGATGCCTAGTTTCTATTGTAAGAGAGTATGAAGCCCTTTCTTCCTTATGTTCACTGTAGGACGGAATTCATCACTAAGCTTGTGTTTCCACTGTAGGAACTACTGAGCGGGGGGGGGGGGGGGGGGGTTGTATATGTCTCTGCCTCTGGTTACATTTTGTTCCTCCTTGTTTACGAATCAGTCATCTGCCGGAACAGCCATGTTTCTTGGAATGATGGTGGGATGAGGAGGGAGGGGGACTGATGGATTGGGGAGAGTTTCCAGGGATCGTCTCGGCTTCTCTTCCCCCATTCTCTTCTGTCACACACAAAAAATGCAGCTGTTCCATTTAGCTGTCCACAGACACAAAACTTCAAGAGGCTGCTTTCGGAGCTCAAGTCTGATCTTGCCCTAGCAGAGCTAACACATGCACGAGTGCACGCACGATACAACCAGGAGTGTAATAAGAGCGCTTCCAGTAAACACTGATTAGCTGAGTGCTGTGCCCTTGAAAAAGCTCTCTTTAGGAGCTCTTTACCACCCCCAAGACACACACATCACACACACACATAACCACATCACTCATCCTGCTCCTCTAACCTTGTAGACACACACACACAGACCCACTGGCAGAAGCGAGGGGCTGTTGGCCGGCTTCTAGCCCCCTTAGGGTTCCCTTAGAGCTGCTATCCTGCCTGTTAAAGTCCCTCTCCTGTCCTCGCTGGTCGGTAGTGAAACCTCCCAGCCTGGGGTGTGTACATACTTTTTGGTAATGTAGTGTATGTGGACACCTGCTCATCGAACATCTCATTCCGAAATCATGGACATTAATATGGAGTTGGTCTCCCCTTTGCTGCTATAACAGCCTCCACTCTTCTGGGAATGATTTCCACTAGATGTTGGAACATTGCTGTGGGGACTTGCTTCCATTCAGACAAGAGCATTAGTGAGGTCGGGCACTGATGTTGGGCGATTAGGCCTGGCTCGCAGTCGGCATTCCAATTCATCCCAAAGGTGATTGATGGAGTTGAGGTCAGGGCTCTGTGCATGCCAGTCAAGTTCTTCCACACCGATCTCAACAAACTATTTCTGTATGGACCTCGCTTTGTGCACGGGGGCATTGTCATTCTGAAACTGGAAAGGGCCTTCCCCAAACTGTTGCAACAAAGTTGGAAGCACAGAATCATCTACAGTGAGGGAAAAAAGTATTTGATCCCCTGCTGATTCTGTACGTTTGCCCACTGACAAAGAAATGATCAGTCTAATTTTAATGGTAGGTTTATTTGAACAGTGAGAGACAGAATAACAAAACAAAAATCCAGAAAAACGCATGTCAAAAATGTTATAAATTGATTTGCATTTTAATGAGGGAAATAAGTATTTGACCCCCTCTCAATCAGAAAGATTTCTGGCTCCCAGGTGTCCTTTTATACAGGTAACGAGCTGAGATTAGGAGCACACTCTTAAAGGGAGTGCTCCTAATCTCAGTTTGTTACCTGTATAAAAGACACCTGTCCACAGAAGCAATCAATCAATCAGATTCCAAATTCTCCACCATGGCCAAGACCAAAGAGCTCTCCAAGGATGTCAGGGACAAGATTGTAGACCTACACAAGGCTGGAATGGGCTACAAGACCATCGCCAAGCAGCTTGGTGAGAACTTTACAACAGTTGGTGGGATTATTCGCAAATGGAAGAAACACAAAATAACTGTCAATCTCCCTCGGCCTGGGGCTCCATGCAAGATCTCACCTCGTGGAGTTGCAATGATCATGAGAACGGTGAGGAATCAGCTCAGAACTACACGGGAGGATCTTGTCAATGATTTCAAGGCAGCTGGGACCATAGTCACCAAGAAAACAATTGGTAACACACTACGCCGTGAAGGACTGACATCCTGCAGCGCCCGCAAGGTCCCCCTGCTCAAGAAAGCACATATACATGCCCGTCTGAAGTTTGCCAATGACCATGTGAATGATTCAGAGGAGAACTGGGTGAAAGTGTTGTGGTCAGATGAGACCAAAATGGAGCTCTTTGGCATCAACTCAACTCGCCGTGTTTGGAGGAGGAGGAATGCTGCCTATGACCCCAAGAACACCATCCCCACCGTCAAACATGGAGGAGGAAACATTATGTTTTTCTGCTAAGGGGACAGGACAACCTCACCGCATCAAAGGGACGATGGACGGGGCCATGTACCATCAAATCTTGGGTGAGAACCTCCTTCCCTCAGCCAGGCTATTGAAAATGGGTCGTGGATGGATATTCCAGCATGACAATGACCCAAAACACACGGCCAAGGCAACAAAGGAGTGGTTCAAGAAGAAGCACATTAAGGTCCTGGAGTGGCCTAGCCAGTCTCCAGACCTTAATCCCATAGAAAATCTGAGGAGGGAGCTGAAGGTTCGAGTTGCCAAACGTCAGCCTCGAAACCTTAATGACTTGGAGAAGATCTGCAAAGAGGAGTGGGCCAAAATCCCTCCTGAGATGTGTGCAAACCTGGTGGCCAACTACAAGAAACGTCTGACCTCTGTGATTGCCAACAAGGGTTTTGCCACCAAGTACTAAGTCATGTTTTGCAGAGGGGTCAAATACTTATTTCCCTCATTAAAATGCAAATCAATTTATAAAATTTGTGACGTGTTTTTCTGGATTTTTTTGTTGTTATTCTGTCTCTCACTTTTCAAATAAACCTACCATTAAAATTATAGACCGATCATTTCTTTGTCAATGGGCAAACATACAAAATCAGCAGGGGATCAAATACTTTTTTCCCTCACTGTAGAATGTCATTGAATGCTGTCGTGTTAAGATTTCCCTTCACTGGAACTTAGGAGCCTGAACCATTATTCCTCCTCCACCAAACTTTACAGTTGGCACTATGCATTGGGGCAGGTAACGTTCTCCTGGCATCCGCCAAACACAGATTAGTCCGTCGGACTGCCAGATAGTGAAACCGGATTCATTACTCCAGAGAACGCGTTTCCACTGCTCCAGAGTACAATGGCGGCGAGCTTTAAACCACTCCAGCCGACGCTTGGCATTGTACATGGTGATCTTAGGCTTGTGTGCGGCTGCTCGGCCATGGAAACCCATTACATGAAGCTCTCAACGAAAAGTTATTGTGCTGACGTTGCTTCCAGGGGCCGTTTGGAACTTGGTAGTGAGTGTTGCAACCGAGGACAGGCGATTTTTACGCACTACACGTTTCAGCACTCGTGGTCCCGTTCTGTGAGCTTGTGTGTCCTACCACATTGCGGCTGAGCCGTTGTTGCTCCTAGACGTTTCCATTTCACAATAACAGCACTTACAGTTGACCGGGGCAGCTCTAACAGGGCAGAAATTTGACAAACTAACTTGTTGGAATGGTGGCATCCTATGACGGTGCCACGTTGAAAGTCACTGAGCTCTTCAGTAAGGCCATTCTACTGCCAATGTTTGTCTATGGAGATTACATGGGTGTGTGCTCGATTTTATACACCTGTCAGCAACGGGTGTGGCTGAAATAGCCGAATCCACTAATTTGAAGGGGTGTCCACATACTTTTGTGTATATATAGTGTATGTTCTGTAGTTTGTAGAGTCTAGTCACCCTGGCTAGGCCCCTTCTTCCTACATGATCTAGTAATGTATACAGCACAACTGTGTTCTTCTTGACCGTTGAACTTGTTTCAGTAACAGCTTGTGAGACAAGCATGTTTTCCATTCTTTATTAGGCTACATTTTGAGTGTATTGCTCTGCTGTAGGTTCTTACTGTGCTGGACAGTGGACAGAGTGTCCTACCTGCTATCCCTGGTCAGTCCTTTGATATTAGATAGATAGTGTTTTATTCCATGGGGTATATCTGTCTTGGGCTGCTGGGTCATCTGTGGTTGGAGCCCCTGCTCTTGTTATGCAACGCTGGGCTAAGTTGATTCGTTGGCCTCTGGGTGGTTCCACTGAACTGAAGTGTGTGGGGGTGTGGGAACCGCTACCAATGACCGACCAGCCAATCATACTGTGGGAACACTATACACATAGTTACCAACACATGTATTTAAGCACGCACTCACACATACAGTACATAAACTCACACAAATACATTTACGAGCACACGTGTGTATTACATCACCACACACCCACACCTTCTCTCTCTCGCTCTCTCACACACACACACACACACACACACAGTGTTGGGTCCTAGACATGGCATCTCCTCCATGGGGCTTGTCTCTCTCTCCCACCCTCTCTCTGGGTCCATGTTTATAGTTCTCGGGGTGCCTGTGGGAGGTAGTTAGTGAACATGGCAAATGGAGCCGCTGCGATATGAATGGAGAGGGCCTGGAAGGCAGCCATGCCTGAATTGAGAGACCCAGACGCTCCACACACACGCTCACATCTGTCTAATTAGGCTGTGCTCTCCAGAGAGAGTGGTATGTTGGCTGAGGACCAGGCCTAGTGTGTCATTATGTCCGTGGGATGACCCTCTGTCCTCCCTCCCATCCACCCATCCACTCTGTATGAGGAGCACAACTGCTCTGTTATGCTTGGAAAATATGATTTAGGTCAAATTTGTTCTCACAAAATCATCATGCATAATATATTACAGTGGGGGAAAAAAGTATTTAGTCAGCCACCAATTGTGCAAGTTCTCCCACTTAAAAAGATGAGAGAGGCCTGCAATTTTCATCATAGGTACACGTCAACTATGACAGACAAATTGAGAGAAAAAAATTCAGAAAATCACATTGTAGGATTTTTAATGAATTTATTTGCAAATTATGGTGGAAAACAAGTATTTGGTCACCTACAAACAAGCAAGATTTCTGGCTCTCACAGACCTGTAACTTCTTCTTTAAGAGGCTCCTCTGTCCTCCACTCGTTACCTGTATTAATGGCACCTGTTTGAACTTGTTATCAGTATAAAAGACACCTGTCCACAACCTCAAACAGTCACACTCCAAACTCCACTATGGCCAAGACCAAAGAGCTGTCAAAGGACACCAGAAACAAAATTGTAGACCTGCACCAGGCTGGGAAGACTGAATCTGCAATAGGTAAGCAGCTTGGTTTGAATAAATCAACTGTGGGAGCAATTATTAGGAAATGGAAGACATACAAGACCACTGATAATCTCCCTCGATCTGGGGCTCCACGCAAGATCTCACCCTGTGGGGTCAAAATGATCACATGAACGGTGAGCAAAAATCCCAGAACCACACAGGGGGACCTAGTGAATGACCTGCAGAGAGCTGGGACCAAAGTAACAAAGCCTACCATCAGTAACACACTACGCCGCCAGGGACTCAAATCCTGCAGTGCGAGACGTGTCCCCCTGCTTAAGCCAGTACATGTCCAGGCCCGTCTGAAGTTTGCTAGAGTGCATTTGGATGATCCAGAAGAGGATTGGGAGAATTTCATATGGTCAGATGAAACCAAATTAGAACTTTTTGGTAAAAACTCAACTCGTCGTGTTTGGAGGACAAAGAATGCTGAGTTGCATCCAAAGAACACCATACCTACTGTGAAGCATGGGGGTGGAAACATCATGCTTTGGGGCTGTTTTTCTGCAAAGGGACCAGGACGACTGATCCGTGTAAAGGAAAGAATGAATGGGGCCATGTATCGTGAGATTTTGAGTGAAAACCTCCTTCCATCAGCAAGGGCATTGAAGATGAAACGTGGCTGGGTCTTTCAGCATGACAATGATCCCAAACACACCGCCCGGGCAACGAAGGAGTGGTTTCGTAAGAAGAATTTCAAGGTCCTGGAGTGGCCTAGCCAGTCTCCAGATCTCAACCCCATAGAAAATCTTTGGAGGGAGTTGAAAGTCCGTGTTGCCCAGCGACAGCCCCAAAACATCACTGCTCTAGAGGAGATCTGCATGGAGGAATGGGCCAAAATACCAGCAACAGTGTGTGAAAACCTTGTGAAGACTTACAGAAAACGTTTGACCTGTGTCATTGCCAACAAAGGGTATATAACAAAGTATTGAGAAACTTTTGTTATTGACCAAATACTTATTTTCCACCATAATTTGCAAATAAATTCATAAAAAATCCTACAATGTGATTTTCAGGAGAGAAAAAAATCTCATTTTGTCTGTCATAGTTGACGTGTACCTATGATGAAAATTACAGGCCTCTCTCATCTTTTTAAGTGGGAGAACTTGCACAATTGGTGGCTGACTAAATACTTGTTTTCCCCACTGTATATTGCATAATGAATATTCAAAATATACTCGAAGCAGTTTGATTATACAGTGTGTACTCTTTGGCATTGGATATTTTTTTCTAATAACAATGTTTAACAGGGTACTATAAACCAATGAATAATCCCACAGTACAAAGATAAAGAACTGTCCTTGTTAAACCCCATGGAATCTGCTACAATATGGAAAGGTGCCAGCAGCACTAACTTGATCCAGAAAGGAGAGAATGAACTAACATATTTTTTCTGTTTGTTGCCCTGTCTCTGTTTCCAGGACCTATCCTGCATCGATGACCTCTCCAACTCTCTGTTCTCCTCTCCGGCCGACTCTCTGTCAGAGTACGCCGATGCCCAGGTCTTCATCCCCACAGACAACCTGGCCCACGTGCCCACGATATGGGACATAAACACACCAGCACCGAGCCAGCTGGAGGTGAGGGGACCTGACTACACACACGCACACAGAGACTCTCTCTCACTTTTTTATGTCTCATTCATACACACTCACACACAGAAATAAACACGTCAGAAAACACACACATGACGTTTTCTTTTTCTCACACAAAACAACGAAACATGCAGCAGTGCCTTCATAAAGTACTCATACCCCTTGACGTATTCCTCATTTAGTTGTTACAGCCTGAATTCACAATGGATTCAATATAATTCTTTTTCTCACCCATTTACGCACAATACCCCATAATCCTCTGTAGCTCAGCTGGTAGAGCACAGCGCTTGTAATGCCAGGGTAGTGGGTTCGATCCCCGGGACCACCCATACACAAAAAAATTAAAATAATGTATGCACGCATAACTGTAAGTCACTTTGGATAAAAGCGTCTGCTAAATGGCATATTTTTGTAAATGTATTGAAAATGAAATACAGAAATATCTAATTTACATAAGTATTCACACCCCTGAGTCAATACTTTGTACAAGCACCTTTGGCAGAGATTACTGCTGTGAGTCTTTCTGGGTAAGTCTCTAAGAACTTTCCACACCTGGATTGTGCAACATTTACCCATTTTTATTATTTTCAAAATTCTTCAAGCTCTAGCAAATTGGTTGTTGATCATTGCAAGTCAACCATTTTCAGGTCTTGCCATAGATTTTAAAGTAGATTTAAGTCAAAACTGTAGCTCGGCCAGCTCAGAACGTTCACTGTCTACTTGGTAAGCAACTCCAGTGTAGATTTGGCCTTGTGTTTGAGGTTATTGTCCTGCTGAAAGGTGAATTCATCTCCCAGTGTCTGGTGGGAAGCAGACTGAACCAGGTTTTCCTCTAGGATTTTGCCTATGCTTAGCTCCATTGCATTAATTGCTTTGCCATATTTTTTTGTGGCATTACTTTAGTACCTTGTTACAAACAGGATGCATTTTGGGGAATTCTGTACAGGCTTCCTTCTTTTTACTTAGGTTAGATTGTGGAGTAACTACAATGTTGTTGATCCATCCTTCTATCACAGCCGTTTAACTCTTAACTGTTTTAAAATCACCATTGGTCTCATGGTGAAATCCCTGAGCGGCTTCCTTCCTCTCCGGCAACTGAGTTAGGAAGGACACCTGTGGCTTTGTAGTGACTGGGTGTATTGATACACGATCCAAATTGTAATTCATAACTTCACCATACTCAAAGGGATATTCAGTGTCTACTTTTACATTTTTTTACCCATCTACCAATAGGTGCCCTTCTTTGCAAGGCATTGGAAAACCTCCCTGGTCTTTGTGCTTGAATCTGTGTTTGAAATTCACTGCTCGACTGAGGGACCTTACAGATAATTGTATGTGTGGGGTACAGAGATGAGGTAGTCATTTAAAATCATGTTAAACATGCCATTTATTATAGGACTTCTTAAGCAAATGTTTACACCTTATTTAGACTTGCCATAATAAAAAAGTTGATTACTTATTGACTCAAGACATTTCAGCTTTTAATTTTTTTATTAATTTGTAAACATTTAACAAAAACAATTCCACTTTGACAATATGGGATATTATGTGTAGGCCAGTGACCAAAAATCTCAATTTAATCAATTTTAAATTCAGGCTGTAGCACAACAAATTGTGGAAAAAGTCAAGGGGTGTGAATACTTTCTGACGGCACTGTACATGCTTCACCACACACTACTACCTAGATAACTAACACCACTATGCTCATACCCACACATACACACTCACTCAAAAAAAATAAAAGACAAAATGTCTGTGTGCTTAACACTAAACAGCAATTCTCAAATACACATAAAATGTACAGTAGGGCAGTTGGTAAATGTTGCCTCTAACCACTGATCCAGGGTCAGATATGTTTACAACCCATCTCTGTATAGAGGGCATCTTATCGAATAAACTCAGAAATGGGAATGTTTGAGTAGTTTGAGTCTTTGTATTTTTTCTATTGATTCTGTTGTTATTTTCTCCATTATCTAGCTGACTCATTATCTAGCTGACTGTCACTGTCAAGATGACTAATCACTCTCTCTTATGTTGTGTGTTTCCAGAAGTTCCCACATTCTTGACACACACTCACTCACCACTGTGTGACTGACATCTTTTCATTTGTTTTTGTTTGTTCTCCCTGCAGCTGAATGCCAACAGGTTTCAGGGTTTGAGCAGTTTTGAGGATATCTCAGCCATTATCAGCACCCCACCTTTGGGAGGATACCAGGTAGCCTCAACCCTCCAAATCTAATCAGACCTAAATTAGTCAAGTGACTGACTGAGGGCCCCATTTTCACAGGCATAAGAATGTGGAGATGGAGCCAACACTGACTGCATCATTTTAAATATGCGGCACTAAATTCAAAATGAGATTGGCGTAAATATTTTAATTCAAGTGAATTGTTGCTGTATTTTTGCGGCCGTTCCAAAAACAGGTTTTGAAATAATATATTGAGTAAAACGGTCGGTTTTGGTAACTTCTCTGTCAAAATGAAGCTTCATATGTGAGGCTTTGATCTTCAGAGTCCCTCCTAGAAACACTGCAGGCCAATGATCTGATGTCCAATCAGGCTCCCAATTGACATGAATTAATTCACCTTATGAATTAACCTAACTAATTAACATCAGGACAAGTAACTCTAGGTTAATTATGTCCAATTAGCAATCTGTCCACCCTTTGACTTGTAACCATCCACAAATATTTAGTTTGTTCATTTCACCTCACATCTATCTTGTTTTGTCTTGTCCAGTTGGTTGAGGATATTTTACTGACATCTCTTCCTCATCTGCACTGATCTGAAACGAAAACAGGGGCATTTGCTTTCACCTGTCCAGTTCTATTATATCAGTGTAGATGACGAGGAGACCAGTAATGGACAGGATATTAACTAAATGTCCTATGTCCCCTTGCTTCTGCAGGCTCAGAGAACCCAGACTCCGGCAGAGGAGGAGGCAGAGGAGGAGGAGGAGGAGACTGAGGAGCTGGGACATGTAGACACCTACGCCGACTACAAACCATCCAAATGTACGCTGCCCTACACTAACCTATTTATCCTGTTTTATTAGTTTCCTTTGTGGAAGGAATTCTAATGTTGCAATAGTAATATTTTTCTGTGGTATTAGTACACAGTTTCCTCATAATAAAAGAATAATACCATCTGATACTGGTAGTTAGTCTGTGAGGGGCTGAGTAAGGTTTTGTCTGTCTATTCAATCTTTAATCTATTTTGTCCTTCCTCAGCCACCATAGGGATCTCCCACCCAGACAAAGTGGTGGAGACCAACACGCTGTCCAGCGTCCCTCCTCCTGACATCACCTACACTCTGTCCATTCCTGACTCCACCATCAACTGTGGCCTGCTCTCTGCCCTGCAGCTAGAGGCCGTCATCTACGCATGCCAGGTAACACACCTCTCGATCACCTCTGACCCCTAACCTCACACATCTGGTCTGACCGGAACAAGTTCAAGTTTGTTCTTGGGAACTACAGTATGTGGGTCATGCAAAAAAGGGTTGTTTATACAATGGTTTTAAACAACTGTTTTTGTTGTATTACCTACTTCAGCTGTGCTTTTGATATCTCTCTGTGTAAGACGTTTGTTCAATGGGATGCTGTTGTTTTATTCATTCCCGGTCTTCATAAGTGTCTACTAGATGACTAGAATGTGAAGTGTTCGTTAGTGTTTCTACTTGATAGTGCGAGGACACATGAGTGACACTGTGCTCCCTGTGTGTTCCTAGCAACACGAGGTAATCCTGCAGAACAACCAGAGAGCAGGCTTCCTGATAGGAGACGGGGCCGGAGTGGGTAAGGGCCGCACGGTGGCCGGCATCATCCTAGAGAATTACCTAAAAGGAAGGAAGAAAGCATTATGGTAAGACACAAGATTTCTCGTACTATTACTCCACACAATACATTACCCAGCCTAGCTCTGTTTCTCCCTACCTAATAGGTTTCTCCTACCATTATGTAGGTGCGGATCTCCCTGTCTAACAGATTTAGATTGAATGGTTTTGATTGTAAAACGTTAGTTGTAGTGGATATTGCTTCAGGAAGGGGCCTTTGTGACCTACATTAGAACCATCACTGATAGTCAGTGCTATTGATTACTACAAACTCTAAAACAAACCTATTCAGTTGTGCTCCACAATTGTTTTGTAAAGATGCTCTCATTCTCCTCTTTCCCCACACAGGTTCAGTGTATCCAATGACCTGAAATACGACGCAGAGAGAGATCTCAAAGACATAGATGCTCCCACTATTCCTGTGCATGCCTTAAACAAAGTGAGTGTTTAAGGAAAAGCAAACCACACTCCAGAACAATATTCATTCTCAATCATTCGTATCCATCAGATATACTGAATGTCTTTCCCTGGCGTAACCTGTGATTGTGTTATTTCCATGTAGATAAAGTATGGCGACACAGCTACCTCAGAAGGAGTCCTGTTTGCGACATACTCTGCGCTGATCGGGGAGAGCCAAGCAGGGGGGCAGCACCGCACCAGACTCAAGCAGATCCTGGACTGGTGCAAGCCTGGCTTTGATGGAGTTGTATCCTTTATGACCACCATTACCTGAAGTATACTGAATAGTTAGTATCTAGCTGGCCATTTTAGAAGAAAGGAAGTCACTGCTCTTCAGACTGGGCCGCTGCATCCTGACTGCGCTCTGCAGTGTTCTCTTCTTCTGAAGCCCGCGGTGCAGGTGTGTTTGTTCGGGAGAAGAACATAGTGATAGGCAGCTGTTGTCGCTCTTTTTTCTTCTTTGCAAAAAGATCCTTGTACACCGACATGCCACCATCGATTACGTTGGAGAACTGTAATGAACGGCTCATCAAAGGGTCCCATTCCTCAGCTACTCGCTTAAGTTCAGTGGCCATTCGCACCATGGTTGCTAAGCGACCAAGCGTTAGTCCTTCCTCCTCATCTCTCGTGTCCTCTTCTCCCTCTTCTCTTTCATCGTCGCTTTGTGGCTTTGTCATTTACCTTCCCTTAGCATGTCCAGAAGTTTAACTTTATCTGAGATAGGTAGCATCTTCCGCCGTTTGGGCCCATCCGCAGGTGCTTTTGTCGGTCCAGGCCGTTTCGTCGACATTATGGGTTTAGGAGATGTTCGAAATTACAAGATAATTTGGCCAACTTAATGTAAATTTGCCAAGCTGTTTTATGTACGTACACATAACTGCACGAGACGACAAAATGATAGCACAATTCGTAGCATGTTTTGATACAAGAAGCGGGAGTGAGTTTTTAGCGAATCAGAATGCAGAGCACAATGCACCAAAAAAAAAAAAAATGCATTATGAAAATCCGCGAAATAGCGAATCCGCGATAAGTGAACCGCGAAGTGGCGAGGGATCACTGTACTTCATCTTTTATCCGCTAATAATTACTAACCCCAAACCCTAAAATAAGAACATACTTGATCAATAGTTTGGATGATATTGCCACTTTTGTCAGTTCTAGCATGGCATCTAGCCCAGTAACTAGTGATAGGGGAGCATACCTCAATGTTTACAGTTCACATTGTAGCTGCAGTACTTTGCCCTTGACTGTGTTCCTAGATTGTGTTTGACGAATGCCACAAGGCCAAGAATGCCACGTCCACCAAGATGGGCAAGGCCGTGCTGGACCTGCAGCACAACCTGCCGCTGGCCAGGGTGGTTTACGCCAGTGCCACAGGTGGGCCTTTCTCACACTGTACCTGGACCACTGTTTGTTTTCACTTTCACTATCGCTCCTTCTCACAATGCCTGTACTTTAGGACTGTTTGTCTACCTGTTCCTATCTCAGTTTTTCCCTTTTTCATCTCATTCAGACTGTATGTGTCTTGCCTCTTCCTCTCTCTCCCTGTCTTTCTTTACATTTATCTGAGTCTCTTAGCTACTCTCTCTCTCTCCCTCCCTCCCTCTCTCTCTCACCCTCTCTTTCTCTCTCTGTATCAACATCTCACCCCTGCTTCTCTGTCTCCCTCCAGGTGCCTCTGAGCCAAAGAACATGATCTATATGAGCCGCCTGGGAATCTGGGGTGAGGGCACGCCATTCAAGACCTTCGATGACTTCCTGCACGCCATCGAGAAGAGGTCTGACCTTATTCCACACGTCATTTACCTGATTTATGTCACTGTATTACCTGTATCTTATTATTCAAATGTATATGAATATCTGTTGTGAGAATGACATCTCATAAGGGTGTGGGTACCAGACCGGTCCTGGCTTCCAGGATTCAGCATCGCTGACAGGCTGTCTGTGGGTTTGATTTTTGATTGACAGGGGTGTGGGGGCCATGGAGATTGTTGCCATGGACATGAAGGTGAGTGGGATGTACATCGCCCGGCAGCTGAGCTTCTCAGGGGTGTCCTTCCGCATCGAGGAGATCGGCCTGGATGACGACTTCAAACTGGTCTACAACAAAGCTGCCAAACTGGTAAGACTAACTTGATAGTGTGTGCGTGTTGATTTAATTTATTTGCTATGTTTATTTGGACAGGGACAATGTAGAACAAAAACATAAGTCTCAGAAGTGAGAAGTGATGCGTTGCAATGTTGATACGTTTCAAAACAAGTCAAGACATGACACAAAGTAATTTAAATGATAGCTGGAAGAGATGGAGACCCGCACACTGTCGAAAAAGAGGAATAAATCCAAAACTGAGGCTTAAATGTAAAAATAAAGATGTTTTAGTGGGACATCATGGTGCCCAAAAGCTCACTGTGCAGAAAAGTGCAGAAATAAGAGGTGAAAACAAAATACTAAAGTTTTGGCATCAAGCCATCATCAGTGTGAATGGTGAGCACACAGCCAAGCTTCTATTTGAGGTGAATTGCATATGTCACATGATCTAGTGAGCAAATCTATACATGCAAACAAGTACATTAAATTAATTAAAGTACATGAGCGGACAGAGAAATATCAAAATGTTTGCTTTTGCATATACCATGTGAACATTTCCTATAGAATAAATAACACAGGATTGTAATGGGTCTAAAAGACCAGATTGTAGAGTGATGTCCCAATAAAACATCTTTATTTTTGCATTTATGCCTCCGTTTTGGATTTATTTCTCTTTTTCAAGAGTGTGCGGGTCTCCATCATTTTCACATTAAAGTCATTGCACATATTGCTGTTGGACCTGATTTTAATATTTGAGTTTTAAAACACATGATGATGTGAGATTGTCTGTGTATGTAAAGAGATGTGTGCAGGAAAACTGACCTATATATGCTTGTCCTCAGTGGGCGGAGGCTCTGGCCGTGTTCATGCGTGCGGCGGACGAGCTGTGTCTGGTCAGCAGGAAGTCCCTGTGGGGTCAGTTCTGGTCGTCCCACCAGCGCTTCTTCAAATACCTCTGCATCGCCGCCAAGGTTCGCTGCCTGGTGGAGCTGGCCAAGAAAGAGCTGGAAGCTGGCAAGGTGAGACTGTTATGTTCATTTATTCAGCCTTTATTTAACTCTGTACTCAGCCTCTGATTTGCTTCCAAGAGGTTAGGAGTCACCATATAGCTGAACTTGGTATCCTAAGTGACCTCTAGGTGACCTCCCTGAGGCCAAGGGTCAATGGCTGTAAATTCAGCCATTGATGGTTTCAAATGATCGAGACATCTAGTATACAGTGGGGGAAAAAAGTATTTAGTCAGCCACCAATTGTGCAAGTTCTCCCACTTAAAAAGATGAGGCCTGTAATTTTCATCATAGGTACACGTCAACTATGACAGACAAATTGAGCAAAAAAAATCCAGAAAATCACATTGTAGGATTTGTAATGAATTTATTTGCAAATTATGGTGGAAAATAAGTATTTGGTCACCTACAAACAAGCAAGATTTCTGGCTCTCACAGACCTGTAACTTCTTCTTTAAGAGGCTCCTCTGTCCTCCACTCGTTACCTGTATTAATGGCACCTGTTTGAACTTGTTATCAGTATAAAAGACACCTGTCCACAACCTCAAACAGTCACACTCCAAACTCCACTATGGCCAAGACCAAAGAGCTGTCAAAGGACACCAGAAACAAAATTGTAGACCTGCACCAGGCTGGGAAGACTGAATCTTCAATAGGTAAGCAGCTTGGTTTGAAGAAATCAACTGTGGGAGCAATTATTAGGAAATGCAAGACATACAAGACCACTGATAATCTCCCTCGATCTGGGGCTCCACGCAAGATCTCACCCCGTGGGGTCAAAATGATCACAAGAACGGTGAGCAAAAATCCCAGAACCACACGGGGGGACCTAGTGAATGACCTGCAGAGAGCTGGGACCAAAGTAACAAAGCCTACCATCAGTAACACACTACGCCGCCAGGGACTCAAATCCTGCAGTGCCAGACGTGTCCCCCTGCTTAAGCCAGTACATGTCCAGGCCCGTCTGAAGTTTGCTAGAGTGCATTTGGATGATCCAGAAGAGGATTGGGAGAATGTCATATGGTCAGATGAAACCAAAATAGAACTTTTTGGTAAAAACTCAACTTGTCGTGTTTGGAGGACAAAGAATGATGAGTTGCATCCAAAGAACACCATACCTACTGTGAAGCATGGGGGTGGAAACATCATGCTTTGGGGCTGTTTTTCTGCAAAGGGACCAGGACGACTGATCCGTGTAAAGGAAAGAATGAATGGGGCCATGTATCGTGAGATTTTGAGTGAAAACCTCCTTCCATCAGCAAGGGCATTGAAGATGAAACGTGGCTGGGTCTTTCAGCATGACAATGATCCCAAACACACCGCCCGGGCAACGAAGGAGTGGCTTCGTAAGAAGCATTTCAAGGTCCTGGAGTGGCCTAGCCAGTCTCCAGATCTCATCCCCATAGAAAATCTTTGGAGGGAGTTGAAAGTCTGTGTTGCCCAGCGACAGCCCCAAAACATCACTGCTCTAGAGGAGATCTGCATGGAGGAATGGGCCAAAATACCAGCAACAGTGTGTGAAAACCTTGTGAAGACTTACAGAAAACGTTTGACCTGTGTCATTGCCAACAAAGGGTATATAACAAAGTATTGAGAAACTTTTGTTATTGACCAAATACTTATTTTCCACCATCATTTGCAAATAAATTCATTAAAAATCCTACAATGTGATTTTCTGGATTTTTTTTTCTCATTTTGTCTGTCATAGTTGACGTGTACCTATGATGAAAATTACAGGCCTCTCATCTTTTTAAGTGGGAGAACTTGCACAATTGGTGGCTGACTAAATACTTATTTTCCCCACTGTAAGGCTCACCCTGACCCAAGTGCTCTCGACAACCTTGATTAATGTTTTGATCAGGGGCCCGGAACACTTGGGGAACGAACAGATAAGCAAGAGTATTTATGCCTGCCTGCCTGCCTGCCTGCTTTCCCTTGAGGAGGTTGGCAGATTGCTACCAACCTCTCCCCATATGCATCTGTCTATTGTTTATCTATTAAACCTTTAAATATAGAAGTCTTATCTTTGGGTTCAGCATTTTCCACACCTTGAGCAAATCAATTATTCCTGACAGACTGTCATTTAGATGGGAATCTCTGGCCAAGAGGCATTATCACAATTATCCAAGCATTTGATTGGACAAAGAAAATGATAAAGGAAATAGAGCCATTTGAATGTTTTTTCCTGGTTGGTATGTTTTAGTGTGATGCTCTGCTCATGTGTCTTGTTTCTCCCCTCCCCAGTGCATCGTGATCGGTCTGCAGTCCACAGGAGAGGCCCGAACCAGAGAGGTCCTGGACGAGAACGATGGGCACCTGGACAGATTCGTATCTGCAGCAGAGTAAGTGTGTGTGTATCTGTGCCCTTGGCTCTCTGAAGCCTTGGATAAGTATAGTATTAGAGCAAATTGATCTTTGGCTCAGCCCTGATTCAACTCACACACACACCACCACAGCTTCCATCTAGTGTAACCAGGGCTTTCCAGCCTGACGCGCCTGTGGTTTTCACACACATAATTTGTTTGTTGCCGGGTGAATGACCACTCACTGGTTAGAAAGCACTCCCATTTGTCACTCTCCAGCTACAGTCAAAGGTTCAGTCTGAACCCTTCACTTTTCTTCCTCAGTACACACTACCTGAGGGTGTAGGGTGAATCTGCCCTTAGACACTGATCCAAAGTCGGTTAAGCTGTTTCCCTGATAATGGTTAAGGACTAGGATTTGGGGAGGGTAAGCTGATCCCAGATCTGTTCCTGCGGTCAAGTTCAACCGGGAGCATACCTGGGTATCAGGCTGGAAATAATGCTGTATGTCTGCCTGCCTGTCTGGACCATCTGAACCTGGGAGACATGAAATGCATATGATGAGGCCAATCAGAGCTTGTCACTCATCTCTATAACCTGTCAGAACTGTCTTGACATCCCTTCAGCCTTCCACAGTGTCAGATTGAGAAGATAACCGTCTGTGTGTCTGGTCTTTTTTCCTCAGGGGTGTGTTCAAAGCTCTGGTACAGAAACACTTTCCCTCAGAGAAGCAGAGGAGAGAGAAGGCACGTGGAAACAAGAGAAAACGTACGTCAACTAAAATACTAAAAACTGTGTTCCTCTGGTGAGGTGTTTGTTCTGTCTTGTCAAAAAAAAAAAAATGTGGACTGGCTGCACCACTATGTAATAACATAAAAAACGCTAAAATCCAAAGGGGGGCACTGATCCACTCCCCACTGTACTCAGCAGCACCACCTTCTTAACAAATCCTGGGGAGAACCCTGTAATGATAATAATAACAACGCTATTTGTGACCAGATTTCTTTATGGGGGCTTATGTCAAATTTAATTGACTTGCCTCGTCAAGTCGGTCTCGTCATGTACTATTCAGGTAAAGCCACTGAGCCACAGTCTGAATCAGCTTGTGTGTGTTCTGTCCACTAGGTAAGCCCAGGGGACGGCAGCCCAAATTCCCAAAGCACACCATGGTGCATCTGGGGGGCGTGATCAACATCAGTGACGACAGCAGCACGGACACGGACGGCATGGACACCGACTCCAACTCCTCGCCAGACTCCCTGATGGACAACAACGATGACGTCATCTTCGTCCAGCACACCAGCTGTCACACAGGTACAATATTTTGACTCTCCTTCTGAGGGGAAAAGGGGGTGCAACTCAATATTAGGAAGGTGTTCCTAATGTTTTGTACACTCAGTGTATGTTCTGCAATGCACACGTTGTGTTGAAGTCTAGGGACTTGGAGAAGAAGTATGATAAATCATTGAAGACAAAGAAAATGACAACAAAGAAACTGATGGATTTTAGGTCCACTGTACTCTCTCACACACACAGACAGTAAAAGCACTTAGCAGACATCTGGGGGCATTTTACCGTGCCCGCTCCCTTTATGACTGTCTGACTCTGTTTACAGTCGTTAACATGCCTCTGTCTGTCTGGGGTTGGTTGGGTTCCTACAGCCAGTATAGAGAAGATGAAGCAGGGCCTCCTGATCAAGATCGCTGACCTGGGAAAGGAACTACCTCTGAACACTCTGGACGAGCTCATTGACAAGTTTGGAGGACCAGAGAAGGTCTCGGAGGTACGTACACCTTATCGGGCTGGATAGGCGCCACATAACCTTATGTCAGAGAGTACATAGTGGGGGCTCTATCAGAAAAATGTGAGATGAGTACCGGTATGTTTCCTGTTTAGAGATTTGTCATTGATTGTTCAATTTTGCTCTGCGGCACTCATTGACAACCTCTGTTGTAGATGACGGGTCGTAAGGGTCGCGTGGTGCGGCGTCCTGACGGAAGCGTGCGCTACGAGTCGCGTGCGGAGCAGAGCCATACCATAGACCACATCAACCTCAAGGAGAAGGACCGCTTCATGTGCGGCGAGAAGGTGAGACACTGGACACTAGAACCATTCTACATGTATCTATCACCAGTGTCTGTGAGTCGAAGGATCTCACTCAAACTGTGTTTGTTCTTGCTTAGAAAATCATGTTCCTATGACACTGTATGTTCTGACGGCATACGATGGAATTATTCTATGTTCTGTTTTGCAGTGTTACAGTGGTTTGTTATATCTTCCTCTCCTCCATCCCTCTCTCCTTCCCAGCTGGTGGCCATCATCTCGGAGGCGGCCAGCTCGGGCATCTCCCTGCAGGCAGACAAGCGGGTGAAGAACCAGCATCGGAGGGTACACATGACCCTAGAGCTGCCCTGGAGTGCAGACAGAGCCATCCAGCAGTTTGGTGAGTCTGGAGAGGACCAGGGGTTAAAGGTCAGGGGTCTGTTAGGCTTAAGGCGTCCGCATGCTTCCCAGCCGAAACGGTTCGGAAGAGTTTATGCATATATTATGACAACATTTTATGAAGTTTTTGTTCCTTTTGGACTTCGGTAAGGTTTTTTTCGGCTGTTTGGGCATACAAAAAAATGTCTCAAAGCAAGCCGAAGTCGGTAGCCGAAGTCGGTAGCCCCTTCGTCTGTGATTGGTCAACAGTATGGATTCTTCAATTAAGTATTTGTTGTCATTCAACGAGAGACAACTTGTTTTCATGCACTTTTTTTCATTGAGAAATACTGCACCAAACATCTTAGATGTAAAATTGCCCGACTAAGATCTCCTCTGCAAAAACGTCATAACTCCAGAAATCTGTCATTAATTAATTATCTTAGATAAATTCTGACTATTTTGAAGAAGTGTATACTGGCATCTCAAAATGGACAAAGTACTATTGCTGCTTTTTTCTAGTTTTTAAAGCGAAGGTCTTTTAAGGGAGTATGCGAGCACACTCGTTCGCGGAGTTCGGCTAGGCGCCAGCTGAACTGAAGCATGCTGATGCCTTTAGGGGTCAGGGTTAGGGTCAGAGTTGGACTCTCCTCAATGCAGGTTACACACACTGTCACACAGACGTCTCTCTTCACACAATCCACCCTGCTAGAAGTGTTGCACTCTAGCCTGATGAAATGTCATGTCATTAGTATCGGCTGCCTCTTCAAATTGCCTTGCCTAAAGACAGATTTAATCATTTTGATGTATATCAAATTAAAATATATTTTGTATTTTTGGACCTATGGATGCGAGACATTTTAATAATTGGAATGAGTTACTTTTATAATGGTGTTGCTGTGAAACTTAACTTGGATGTGGTGCAGTTTTGTCTGGCTGCAGGGAGAGGTGTGTTGGACTAAATTAGAATAACATAATTAGCCTTAATCTCCTGTACTGTTTGCTAGATATAATTTCCCACCCAATAACAACAGTGGAAAAGCGGGCGTGCGCGCGCACCCACACACATCGTGGGCCGTGAATGAATTGTTTGCAGTAATTAGCTAACTGCCTCAGTAATTCCTTCCCCGTTAGCCGCACTCCCTTGTGACTTGGGGAGCTGAACTCACTGCATGGGTTGGCATGTGTGGGCCTGATTGACAGACACTGTTTACACTCACAACAGCAACACACACACACAGTTAGGTGGCCTAGGATTTCCACGTTAAGGTCCAATTCAGAACTTGGAACTTGAATGACGGGTTTAGCTGTGGTGGGTGGAAACTTGTACCCGTTCCGAAATGGACCTGGGGCTTTCACACCCGGACTCGATATGCATACATTTATTATTAAAATATTGAGACCCGTTCCTGTAGCTCAGTTGGTATTTGGTAGAGCATGGCGCTTGCAACGCCAGGGTTGTGGGTTCGATTCCCACGGGGGGCCAGTATGGAAAATGTATGCACTCACTAACTGTAAGTCGCTCTGGATAAGAGCGTCTGCTAAATGACTAAATAGACCTGGTCTGATCCAGATCCGATCCGAGTGAGGGAAGCAGCAGACCCGAGCTGGTAAAGAGGGAGAGAGGTGCCGCTCTAGAGGCGGGGAACGGCCGTACTGTGAGCGATTGGGAGCGAGAGACTGCAACCACCCAAGCAGACTCACACTATAGTAAACTAATAGCTGCCATAGCTACGTTATTTATCATCGAATATGATTACGTAGTACCTGTCTTGACTGCATCAAACTGGGAGAAGCTAGTTAAACTAGCTAACGTTAGCTAGCTGGGCTAATTTAGGCTGCAGTGCATGCGCTTTCTAATCCTAGTTACAAATAACATCTCCATTCAGAATATTAAGTACCAGCCTACCTGTTGGCTCTTGGTCATTGTAGCCTATCCTTCTCCTTTAACTTTTAATTCCGTCATTTTAATTCCATTTTCCATTGATTAGATTTCTCCTAACTTTTGCCACACATGGAGTGAGGCTCTGTGACTGTAACCTATTGTCGCTTTGATGACTCATGATTGGCCAACAGCAAGCTACACGCTCCACTCTCGTGAAAAGCAAGAGCAGCAGCATAAATTATAAAAATGTATCTCTCTCTATTGCAGCAGTAGCGTTCGGATCTGTACGGGCCCTTCTGGATATATCAGTTAAAATTACACATACCGGAGACCTGTGACAATCATATCAGATCCGACCAAGACCTGTGACATTATTTAGAATTGTGGAACCGTCCCGCTTGTGTCCCGGATCGGGATTCGGGAAGAGGTGGATCCGTGAAGACTCAGAGACCGATTACCCCGGAAATCCACATTTGCTGACATCATCCTCTGTTCATTGAAATCATCCTACCCCATAAACCAATGTCTTATTTTTCTAGTTTTTCCCTGTTGTACACCACTATACTGTACAAAAATATAAAAAATATGATATTACTGAGTTACAGTTCATATAAGGAAATCAGTCAATTGAAATAAATAATAAATCAATGGATTTCACATAACTGGGCAGGGGCGTAGCCATGGGTGGGCCTGGGAGGGCATAGGCCCACCCACTTGGGAGACAGGCCAACCCACTGGGGAGTCAGGCCCAGCCAATCAGAATGAGTTTTTCCCTACAAAATAAGATTATTACAGACACAAATACTCCTCAGTTTCATCAGCTGTCTGGGTGGCTGGTCTCAGACGATCCCGCAGGTGAAGAGGCCGGATGTGGAGGTCCTGGGCTGGCGTGGTTACACGTGGTCTGCAGTTGTGAGGCCGGTTGGACCTACTGCCAAATTCTCTAAATGACGTTGGAGGTGGCTTATGGTAGAGAAATGAACATTCAATTATCTGGCAACAGCTCTGGTGGACGTTCCTGCAGTCAGCATGCCAATTACACACTTCCTCAAAACTTGAGACATCTGTGGCATTGTGTTGTGTGACAAAACCGCACATTTTAGTGGGCTTTTATTGTCCCTAGCACAAGGTGCACCTGTGTAATGATCATGCTGTTTAATCAGCTTCTTGATATGCCACACCTGTCAGGTGGATGGATTATCTTGGCAAAGGAGAAATGATCACTAACAGGGATGTAAATCAATTTGTGCACATAATTTGAGAGAAATAAGCTTTTTGTGCGTATGGGATATTTCTGGGATCATTTATTTCAGCTCATGAAACATTGGACCAACACTTTACATGCTGCGTTTATATTTTTGTTCAGTATAGGTCCTCTGTGTTCTGACTGGTCTTCCTCCTCTGTGTGTGTGGTTCTCCAGGTCGTACCCATCGCTCTAACCAGGTGACGGCTCCAGAGTACATCTTCCTCATCTCTGAGCTGGCCGGGGAAAGACGCTTCGCCTCCATTGTGGCCAAGAGACTGGAGAGTCTGGTACGTGCTGTTGCAGCCTCCTCTACTAAAGCCTGATCGATCTACTATGGAGTCCCAGAACTCCATGTGTAATAAATCCCACTTTTATTAGAGTGAGGATTGAACTGCTGAGTTTATAACTTGGGGGCAGTCTTTCTCCCCGTAATCCTAGGGCTTCTGACTCCCCTGTTTACTCCCCCACTGTCCCAGTCCTCACCCCCTGTCTTGACCCTGCTTTGTCCTATTGACCAGACACTTGCAAGGTCACCTGATGTCACAAACACCTTTCACACAACATTTCAAACCCAGGAAATTCCTCAGATCCTCCTTTGGTCTGAATAATAAGGTTATCAGACTTTGGAACGCACCCATGTCTGGGTAGTTATATGAGACTGCTATGAGACAGTTTTCCATATTTCATTGTAATATCTTTACCCCAGTCATTTATTTGCCTTGTCTATCAGGAGGGAAGGGGGGAGTTCCAGAAAGTGTGTGTTGTCTCTGCCAGGCCTGTGCGGCAATCCAGTCTCAGAATGGGATACGTCATGCAGGTGTAGGCCGTCATTGTAAATAAGAATTTGTTCTTAACTGACTTGCCTAGTTAAATAAAGGTTAAAAAAATAATATATATATATATATATTACAAAATTCCCAGGGCCCAGCTTCTCCTCTTCCCCTCCTTCCCAGCCGCTGAATACCTTTGTGTTTGGCTCCCTCCAGATCAGCAGTGATCTCATATCTGGCAGAAACATCCCTTTGTTTTTATCTCAGAACATTCCTTTATGTGGGCACCAGCTAAAGCAGCTGCTGGCTTCAAATGGACCTTCAGTCACAATCTGTGCACAGCACTCAATGTCTTGGCAGTCATGTCAATTCACTGCCTCTATGCTTTACCTGTCTGCTGCAGTTGAGAAAGTTGTGTGTTTGTAGCGGGTGCGTTATATCAGTCTGTGACGTAAGGCTGTAAAGCTAACAGTGTTTTGTTCTGGTTTCTGTGTCCAGGGTGCATTGACCCACGGTGACAGGAGAGCCACAGAGTCCAGAGACCTGAGCAAATACAACTTCGAAAACAAGGTAAGCGCTGGCTAGAACTATTACATGTGAGATCATGCTTCCGCTTGTACAGAAGCCCAATTTGGCATGACCTGTGATTAGTTGTGTTGGAGATTCTGGGGGGAGGGAGCGGTGACCTGACCTGTTTGATGACTGGTTTTTCTGCTGTGTGTTTCTGCAGTATGGTACCAAGGCTCTGGATAAGATCACCAAAGCCATCCTGGGCCACATCGAGAGCAAGGTGTCCCCTCCCAAAGGCTACCCTGGGGGTGATGCCCTGTTCTTCAGAGGTACATTGAGTGCATGTAGAACATACCCCAAACATTATACAAATCCTGTCCTATGCAAGTCCTGTCCAAAGCTACATTGAAATAATTATTGTATTCCCTGTTTCAGACATGAAGCATGGCATGATGGATGTGGGTATCTTCTGCAAGGAGCCACGCTTTGGTCTCAGTACTGAGAAAGACTGCAGCATCACCAAGTTCCTCAACAGGATCCTGGGCCTGGAGGTCCACAAGCAGAACTCTCTGTTCCAGTACTTCACCGACAACTTTGACTACCTGATCGAAAAGGACAAGAAGGAGGGCAAATACGACATGGGCATCCTAGGTATGGAGACCAACACTCACACTTCAAACATGACTGAATAAAATGGTGCCCTTTCCATAGTTTGTAAAGCTAAAGAACTCTCCACACTATTAGAATTAAAGGCTGCATTCTATTGTATGTGACTACTATGCCATACAGTATATACTCCTCTATATACCATTAAAACAAATCCACCTGCCTACTGCATTTGGCATTCCTAGAATGTCTTTCCAAGAGCAGCAACATGGTTTGGGATGGTACAGAGTCTCTGTATAGAGATGCTAGATATGTCTCCTGACTAGAACTACGTGTCATGTCCTGTCCTGTCTGTTCTGTCCTGTCTGTCAGATCTGGCCCCAGGTAACGATGAGATCTACGAGGAGAAGCAAGAGACCTTCATGACAGTGGGAAACCCCCAGGACGGACAGGTTGTGCTCTACAAGGTACTCCCATTGTACACTGGTACATTATTAATGTACAATTTGATTATCTAGCTATATTTGACAGTGGCACCTCATATAGATTTGCATGTTGATTTTTGTTTTGTAACTAAATGAGTGCCGCTGTTTGGGTCGGTTCTCTGGTCTGAAAAATATACTTAAAATCTCAACAAGACTAAACCTAGTGATTATATATTTTAAAAAATGTCCCACCATTGCCGCGAGACAACGAGAGCAGTGTTTCCTGCAAACACAACCAGAGAGGTGATATACTGTACTCGACAGATTTATCCTCCACTTTGTTATTCTGTACTCTGACTCCTGGATGCAGTTATTAGTGCTGAGCGATTAACCAACATTTCGGGGGGATTTAGGTTATTTAACAACTAATTGACCGACATCGGATCACTTTTTTTTGTGAGCCCAACGTGCCGTTTCTCTAGAGAGAAATCAAATAATTCACTGAAGAAATCAAGTCAAGAACTATTTGGGACGCTGGGCTGAAGGGAGTTGTAGTCTTCATTAAGCAAATATTCAACCTAGTTTAGCGCAGAAACATGGTAATGAACTACATTGACCATAATCCATTGCCCAGTTCTTTGCGGCTCGGACAGAGGATACACTTTTACTCCTGCTACGTAAGATAAACACAGACTGCATGAGAGAGTAATGTACACAACACAACGACGAGAGGGATAGACAGTTTGTGAGAATGCCTTAGCTACTTTGAAGAACTAGTCAAATGATTTCGTCAGACAGCTCTGCAGCATACTTGGGCAGGCTAGCCTAGCTAAAAGGATGACTGAAGACAGTATAGCACAGTCAAACTCATTCAACGGAGGGCTGAGTGTCTGCGGGTTTTCGCTCCTTCCTTGTACTTGATTGATGAATTAAGGTCACTAATTAGTAAGGAACTCCCCACACCTGGTTGTCTAAGGCTTAATTGAAAGGGGGGAAAAAACTTAGACACTAGGGCCCTCCATGGAATGAGTTTGACACCTGCAGTGCAGTATGGGGAGCAAAGAGATAACGTTAGATGGTCTGGCTGGCTGCTACTGCCTGAGCAGAGATGAGATGATCACTTTAAGGAATTAAAAATAATAAAGTCATCAAATAAAAACTAAGTAATTTCCTATTTTTCTATTGATGGCTACCCAATATGGACCTGACAGAGAGAATGGAATATTTTCAATGTTTTGGCAATTGAATGTTCACTATTTCTTGGCTTTGGAATTTCCTTAAAACATCTCTAAAATCATTTTAATGTAATTATTTCATAATGCATTTAAAAAATAGTCGAAATACACCGACACATTGGTACGGCTGGCCTTTGGGTTAAGCGAGCAGTGTGTCAAGAAGCAGTGAGGCTTGGCAGGGTCGTGTTTCGGAGGACTCATTGCTCTCGACCTTCGCCTCTCCCGAGTCCGTACGGGAGTTGAAGCGATGGGTCAAGACTGTAACTATCAATTGGATATCACGAAATTGGGGTAAAAAGTACAAAAATAATAATACAAAAAAATAAATAGTCGAAATCGAAAACCGCAAAAAAGAATCGAACCGACACCGAACCAACCTCAAAAAGCATGAATCGCTCAGCACAAGCAGGTATGCCGAGATTTAAAGTGTTGGCATTTCATCTGCATGTGGTTGGATGGTGAGCATCACATTTAGCCAGAGGGAGGGAGAGTAGCAGAACGCTGAAAAATGATAATTACTGGTATCTCCAGCTCCCTGCCTTGCCTGGCCGTCACTGCAGGCGAACCTAGAGTTTACATTTCAAACCAACACAACCAGGACCGGTTTAGCAGGTGTAGACTTCCAACTCATGCCAACCCCCTGGCTGGCCTCTGAGCCCCTGATACAAAGAGCTGTGTGTGTGTGTGCCCGCACAGATTTCCGCATGTGTGTTGGGAATGTTGAATCGTGCCAACAGTGGGTATTCGCTGCATAGTGTCCTCCCATAGGGCAGCTATTCTGACCTCTAACCGTTAACCCTTGTCCTCTGCATGTCACCCCTATAGATCAGCGTGGACAGAGGGATGCCGTGGGAGGAGGCCTATGAGAAGGTCCAGAACCTCAACAGTCCTGACGAGGGTTTCTACCTCTCTCACAAGGTGAGTCTAGCTGGCTATCGTAGAGCAGAGAGACGCTCTGCATGTCTCAGCACGCACACAGACGCACCAGGAAGCCTGTGATACTGTGAGTACCTGTACCTCCCCAGGGCTCAAGCAGAGCTAGAACAGCTTCCAGACTGTCTGTTTCCCAGAGGTGAATGACAGTTCAGAAGGGTCCAGGTGCCTCTGTTCTATTCTCTGTTCTCTGGTGTGGCTCTTTCATCGCACATCAAGGGAGTATAATGAAGTGTGCATGTTGTGAACCTAAAGGAGAAAAATAACTAGGATTTGATTCAGTATTAATTGTAGTGCCTAGAATGAACACTATACACAGCCTCTTCCTTCCTGATGTTGTTTTCTTCATTATACTGTAGTTACATTCACTTGGTTCATAATACAATTCAACAATGAAATGACAGTCTTCTATAGTCCCTCCAGGCAAACACTTACCCACTGCCAGGTTCCCAGTTGAACTCACTATAAATCTTCTGCCTCTTTCTTGATTTGATTTATTTGTGGTTTAAAACAATTGTACAGATGGAGTTCAATTGTGGCCAGAGGAAAACACATGAAAGTATTTTACAGAACTTTAAAGTCATTTCCATCTCCTATGTGTTCCTCAGTTGCGGGGGAACCACCCGTGTGTGCTGTTGGCGGAGCAGGGCCGAGGGAGGAACCTTATTGTCTACAAGCCCAACATTGGCAAGCAGGCCCACCCAGAGAGCCTGGACAACCTCCAACTACGCTACCGCAAGGTAGGGCTCCAGTCTGACACAGACGGATAGAAGTCTGTTGTTTGGCAGAAGGAACAGCTATAGTGTCCATTGACATGCACACAATACAAGGATTCCACTCGCATGGCAACAATATTTGTCTTTGTTCTTTGCCAGGAAATGTTTGTTGTGGTGTATGCTGCCCTCTAGTGGAATAAACAGTAGTGAAACAGGAAGTACAGTCCTGCGTATTGTCTAAGGTCCAATATAAAAACGAGTGCTCAACACTTTAACATAAGACTGTGTTGTGTTCCCGTCCTAGGTGACCTCAAACCAAGCCAAGGACAGCTGGGAGAGCCAGTTCAACTTTTCCTTTGGGAAATGTAGCCATGCTAACTGGAACGGGAAGTGTAAGAAGATCGAGGAGGGTCAGGAGTGTCTGCAGGGCATGCGTCTGCGCCAGTACCACATGCTGTGTGGTGCGCTGCTGCGCGTCTGGAAGCGCGTGGCCGACGTGGTTTCTGACATCACCTGCTCCAGCATCCTTCAGATCGTACGCCTAAAAACCAAAAATAGTAACAAGCAAGTCGGTGAGTACTAAACATCTCCATATAACCCACACACACACACACACCATCACCAAAGTGTGGTTCTGTGAAAGGAAATCAGAGGGAATGTCTTGACAAATTAGTATTTCGAATGTAAACCTAATACCCTCTCTTTCTCCCCTAGGTATCAAGATCCCAGAGAACTGCGTGGCCCGAGTGCGTGAGGAACTTCTCAAAATGGACGAGGAGGTGAAGAGGAGGCGCAAGGAGAAGGAGCAGCAGCGCGCCCAGGAGCAGCGGCTAGCCGAGGAGCGGCAGCTTCAGAACCAACACCTGCTGGCCAAGCTTTACAGCCAGACACAGACCCTGAACCAGAGCCTCAAGAACCAGAACTTGTCGCAGAGCCTCAGCCAGTGCCTCAAGACCCAGAGCCTGGCCCAGGCCAAGCCTCTACACGTCAAGCCTCTATTCCAGCCCAAACCTTCACAGCTCAAACCCCAGCTCAGCCCAGTCAACCAGCTCCCCAGCATGGCCAGCCTCACCTCCCACTTCTCCCACTATCCCCACCACTTCCCCTCCCTGCCCCTCTTGCAACCCGCCCCCTCCTCCACCTCCAAGCCCCCTCGGACCGGGGAGGAGGTCTTAGACCTGACGGTGAGCCCCTCTCCCTCCCCAGACAGCACGGAAGGAGGCCTGGTCCTCGACTGCCTGACGGGGGGATCCGTGGGGAGCTTTGGAGAGGACTTTGGCCTGGAGTCTCTGATATCGCTGAGCGCGCTCGCCGCCCAGAACACTGCACACAAACTGCAGCAACCTCTACAGCCACTGCCACCACTGACAAAGCCACAGCAGCTACAGTCGTCACAGCAGATACAACCACAGCTACAGTTGTCACAGCAGATACAACCACAGCTACAGTCGTCACAGCAGATACAACCACAGCTACAGTCGTCACAGCAGATACAACCACAGCTACAGTCGTCACAGCAGATACAACCACAGCTACAGTCGTCACAGCAGATACAACCACAGCTACAGTCGTCACAGCAGATACAACCACAGCTACAGCAGCGGTTGGACAGTCCGACTCTAATCAACAGCGCCCATCAGGACTACTATGACATCCTCAACCTGCTGGACGATCCAGACCATCTACCTTACTCTCTGTCCAGCCAGACAACTACTAACCCCTCCTCTTCCTCCAACACAGTGGCTCAAGTCTCGTCTGGCCTCCTCTCTTCCCCCTCTACCCCCTCCTCCTCTCTCTTCACCTCTTCGGCCCTGGCCCCCTCAGAACAGCAGCCACTCCCTCTGGCCAACGGCCACTGCAGCACGGACGCCCTCATCAATGTGCGCGAGGTACTGGACAACATGCTACGGACCAGCGCAGACCGGCAGTCGGTTATCCATTACCGGCTGCATGAATGGGACTCTGTGTAACCACCTCATCAGTGTGGCTGTCTGTGTCCTCTAGCTGCTGAGTGTGAACGCACCCCTCATCCCCTCTCCCCTCAGGGCCTAGTCACATCACTGCCTGTCCTGTGCCCTTCACCTCAACCCTCTCCAGGCACTGGATCCACAGGCCAGGGTCACATTCGCTAGACCAAATGTGTGGTCCGTTCAGAGATGGTGAACGTACGACTCCGGTGGAACTGGCCAGGTCCCTTCGCTGAGAGAGAGAGCAAAGGGGGCTCAAATACATAGTTTATACACCAAGGCTTGACCCAATGGAGAAACACAATTGCAACAGGGTTTGATTATGTTTCTATGAATATCAAAAGCTCATGTGCTTTTAAAAAGATCCAACCCGGCTGGAATTGCTTTTTTTTTAATTGAGGAATGTCAAAATATTTTTCTAGAACCACAGCTCTCCGTACTGGTTAAGTTAGGTTTCATTGGTAACATCGCTGGATTCAAACTGCCTTTCATGCACATCTGTGTGCTTTTCTGCCTTGTCCTGTAATTCGCTTCATCGCCATTGCATCGACTGGAAGTAGACTATCTTGCAAAGCTTGGTTTGTTAAAACCAAGGGCTCCACTCAAAAACATCAAACTGGAAAAATCGACAATGTTTCAGTTTTGGCTCATCTCCCTCGTGTCCCTCTCTCTCTGCTGTTTCTACCATCACTTGCTCCAGTGTCCCTCGTGTCCCCCTCTCTCTCTGCTGTTTCTACCATCACTCGCTCCAGTGTCCCTCGTGTCCCTCTCTCTGCTGTTTCTACCATCACTCGCTCCAGTGTCCCTCGTGTCCCCCTCTCTCTCTGCTGTTTCTACCATCACTCGCTCCAGTGTCCCTCGTGTCCCCCTCTCTCTCTGCTGTTTGTACCATCACTCGCTCCAGTGTCCCTCGTGTCCCCCTCTCTCTGCTGTTTGTACCATCACTCGCTCCAGTGTCCCTCGTGTCCCCCTCTCTCTGCTGTTTCTACCATCACTCGCTCCAGTGTCCCTCGTGTCCCCCTCTCTCTCTGCTGTTTCTACCATCACTCGCTCCAGTGTCCCTCGTGTCCCTCTCTCTGCTGTTTCTACCATCACTCGCTCCAGTGTCCCTCGTGTCCCCCTCTCTCTCTGCTGTTTCTACCATCACTCGCTCCAGTGTCCCTCGTGTCCCCCTCTCTCTCTGCTGTTTGTACCATCACTCGCTCCAGTGTCCCTCGTGTCCCCCTCTCTCTGCTGTTTGTACCATCACTCGCTCCAGTGTCCCTCGTGTCCCCCTCTCTCTGCTGTTTCTACCATCACTCGCTCCAGTGTCCCTCGTGTCCCCCTCTCTCTCTGCTGTTTCTACCATCACTCGCTCCAGTGTCCCCCTCTCTCTGCTGTTTCTACCATCACTCGCTCCAGTGTCCCTCGTGTCCCCCTCTCTCTCTGCTGTTTCTACCATCACTCGCTCCAGTGTCCCTCGTGTCCCCCTCTCTCTCTCTGCTGTTTCTACCATCACTCGCTCCAGTGTCCCTCGTGTCCCCCTCTCTCTGCTGTTTCTACCATCACTCGCTCCAGTGTCCCTCGTGAAAACAAGAAGAGAAGGGGAAAAGAAAACAGTCAGCCGTTGTAACAGTGCCTTTGGAAACCTACTTAAATGCAGTCTTTGAAACCCATATAGGCCTAATGTATAGATTTGTACTCAAAGCATTGGTATGTTAATTTATTATATTTGTATTTAACTTAACCCTCCTCGGCCCTCTGTTGGGTCTATGCTGGTGGCAGGTGCCAGGGATCGTCCCCACGAGCCCAGTATGTGTATGTCTGTCTGTGTGTGGACCCTATAGCTGTCCCTTCAGCAGACTGTTCTGTGTGGAACCCTGCTTTCCCAGGCCATGTTATAGACAGAGAGCAGAGGTTAGATGGGATGGACACTGCTGATTTGATGTAATTGGGTGGATGGTTTAAAATGGTGTCAAATATCCTTCTTTTACTCTACTCACCATTCATCCTACGATGTGACTCCTGGGTTGCTTTTGATTTGAAGTTCTCAGGAAAGTCTCGAGTGCATTTGTTATTTTGTTTTGTTTAACTTTCTGACCAATATTGATATGAATATTTGTTTTAGCATATATATATATATATATATATATATATATATATACATACACTACATGACCAAAAGTATGTGGACACCTGCTCGTCGAACATCTCATTCCAAAATCATGGGATTTTATACACCTGTCAGCAACAGGTGTGGCTGAAATAGCCAAATCCACTTTTGTGTGTGTATATATAAATATGTACATATATTGTATATTATATTTCAGAACCTGTAAGATCTGGCTGTCGTTGTGAAATGAATGCACGGTAATTGGTTCATGAAAAGCCTGGGTAAGTTCAACTAATCAAAAGCAATAAACAAGACATTTTGAATAGCAGATGTTTTAAAAGTATAAGTACTGTTTACGCTCCGCAGCCGAAGGTTATAGATATACCTGTGCATGGGAAGAATTGGATTCCTCTTTATTTCTGTTCTACTTGTAGTCTGTAGTTAAAGATCTCTGAAATACCTATGAACTTTGTATAACCATTGTGATGGGATGAAAGCAATGTGCTATTGATGTTTTTAGTCATTCTTATGATGATGATTAATATTGTTATTTATATTTAAGGGATATTTAGTTTTTAGACTGTTATCCTGATGATCCTTTAGTCAAAGTTTGGTCAGGGACATTTCTAGTTTTCAAGATTACTATAAAAACAAAAAATAAGTCTATTATAACCTGCCACCAAATAATATTGCACTGTTCTGTACTGCTGTACAGGGTTGATCATTTGTTTATTTTCAGTTCTTTGATCCGATTCTGCTTGTGACTCAAGTAAAATTGTTCCAACTTTTACAACTTCTGCCAGGGCTTTAGTTTGCAGAGAGATACCAAAGTATTCCACACCCCGGAAGTTACTGGCTGTATCTGACCTATTATATCAATCTCAGGAAGAAACCTTAAAGAGATGTATTGGTGGGGAGTTATGAGAAATGTTATTGTTTTCCCTTACAACAGTGGTGAACCTAACAAAAATGCACATTTAGTGCTATTGTATTTCTTCATTTTGTGCTGCGACTCTTGCTGTATTTTTTTTATGTTTGAGACTTAATGTGATGGGTTTGCTTTTGTCAGTCAGTGTTGTGAATTGTTGGTGATTTTAAGTGTTTATGCCATCTTAGGGCAAAGATCAAGCGCTGTTTCTTTTAAGGAACTTTATTGTTTATATATCTGGACAGTTTTTTTTACTCATTTAATCCATTTTAATGCTGACAAAGATTTTGAGCAGATTTGCACCTGGATATACTGATATGTGCAATTACTGGTGCAGATCATTCCCCTTTCCCGACTATCTGACAGATTCAAACTGACCCCAGACATCCAATAGCTCAGGCCTGTTTTCTCCTAAGAGATTCTACTTTATATCCATATATATCAGATTGTCCCAAACATATATTTCCTCATCAGGCACATTCCAATAAATCCAAACATTTTCACAATCGAACCGTTTGTCCCATGCTTCACCTATGGCCAATGGACTGTGTGGTATAACGCTGACATAGAGGTAATATGCATTATAAACTTGGGGAAACTGACAAACACGATTTGAGAAAATGAATTGCAATTTTTAAAGGACCCGCTTGACTTTCTCTTTTAGCAAGCTAGGTCTTTTTATTTTGTCTAAATTTGCACTAAGAATGGCATAATCAAGTTACTGTTGTCTGTTTATGATTGAGAGTTGCAAGCTTGTTGTGTTCCTGAACTTTAGATGGATAGCATTTTTGTATACTAACCATCCTCCTTGTTTCTTCACCTTTTGCATATAAAAGTATCACATTCAATAATTTATTGCTAACAAAAACAACAAAAAACATGCTACTGATTGTATGTATTTTAAACAAAGGATATTTTCTTTCTGTAAAAACTGTTCAGCACTTTTATTCTGGTTTGTGCTTTTGTTTTTCTATATATATTTATAATTTAGATCGAAATGTATATATTGTAAAAAAAAATGTGCCTTTCGACTAATTCTTTAAAAGGTTTTCTACTCATAAAAGGAAGGAATATATCAAAATGCAATCTTAACTTTGTAAACAAACAACAAATAAAAACTTGAAGATTGCGAAAAATGGTGTCTGACTTTTAGGCCTATACTGATGATGCATAATCCATTTGCTGAATTGCTATTGAAAACACAGACTTCTAAGACAGGTGGTGGTGATCTCATTACTTCTGTGTTGCATCGATTGAGGCCTTTACTGTGCATTTCTGTTAGTAATAGTTTTATGAAATATGTGTAGTGGGCTGGCTGCATTTTAGTAAAATTTGGCTGACTCAAAGTTTTCCCATACGGAGGTAGTTTAGTTTGTACTGTTACCCCTTTTACTCCCGAATTTGTAGTTAGTCTTGTCCCATCACTGCAACTCCCCTACAGACTCAGGAGAGGTGAAGGTCGAGAGCCATGCGTCCTCTGTCCAGCTGGCAACCGAAGTCAGCTTGCAGGCACCAGGCCCACCACAAGGAGTCGCTAGAGTGCGATGGGACAAGGAAATTCCGTCCGGCCGAACCCGCCGCTAACCCGGACTACGCTGGGCCAATTGTGCACCGCCTCATGGGTCTCCCAGTCACGGCCTGCTGTTACACAGCCTGGGATCAAACCTGGGTCTGTAGTGATGCCTCAAGCACTGCGATGCAGTGCCTTAGACCGCTGCGCTACTCGGTAGGCCAGAGGCAGTATAGTTTTGATGTCTTCACTATTATTCTACAATGTAAAAATAAAGAAAAACCCTTGAATGAGTAGGTGTGTCCAAACATATGGCTGGTAGTGTGTTTGATACGTTGACAATCCATAGATTGAACAGGGCAGGGAAGAATGGAAAATAAAAAAGGACGGGTGTCCAGGAAGTATGTGACGAACAAGCGTGATGACGTTGTGAAACTCACCTGAACGCTGTACTGCCAAATAGGGACACTCTT